ATTTTCTTAAACCTTTAGGTGAACTAACTTTCTAAAATTGGAGGTAAAACCATTAAGACAAATACAAAAAATGTGATGCAAAAGTTTGTTAAAAGTAGTTTTAAATAAAAAATCTTTACAATCTTTTTATTATAGTTTGTTTTAAACTTGTGTCAAAAATATAATTAGTATATATTTTTAATAGTTTGACAAATCAGACATAAAATAAATCTTTTTTTTTTTTATGTCTGATTAGAATTTGTTTTCTCTTACTTTTGTATTTCCTTGACCTAAAGAACAACCTTAAAGTACAAAGGTTGTACTTTAAAGTTGTAAATTGTACCATTATTTTAATATATAAAATAATGGCACAATTTAAATTTTTTTCTTTTATTTATAAAGTTGTACTTGATAAAAATAAACAAATAAAATTGAACATTTTGAATATTTATTGATTATTATGATAAATTATATCAAATATATATAAAGTATTAATATTTTGCAAAAAAACTTTTTTTTGCAATAACTGCTTCAACGCATTGTGGCATGCTTGCAATTTATTTTTATAGTTTCTGTCAACTCTGGGTTATTGTGCCAGATCTTGATAATCTCTTCCATAAAATCTTGCTTATTAGTAAGATTTTTTTTTCCAATCTCTTGCTTTACTATTTCCCAAATGTTTTCTATGAGGTTAAGATCATGCGAGTTGTCTGGTCATAGCAATACATCAACTAAGCCATAACAGTTTTTATTGTGTGGCAAGTTGCACCATCTTGCATAAGTATTAGATTTTTGACATTTGTTTTAATATTTTTGAATTTTTTTGTAATTTTTTGACATTTTTGGCTGGACATTAATCCCTCTTCTTTTAGTCTTCTACAAATAGTCCGGTCTGACACAACAATTACAGCTTCATGGATAAGCTTAGTCAATAAGTTTAGTGGCTTTTTTTCTGTTTTCCAGGCAGATATTTCTGATTATACTGTCCGCTCTTGGTGTTTTCTGGCGTTTAGAAGGTGGTCTTCTTGGACCAAGCTCTTCCCCTGTATCAATTCTTTTTCTTACTTGCATTACGGTTTGGTAAGAAACCTTTTGCGTTTGCTAAGTAACCTTTGGTATGAAACCTTTGTGCAATTTTTCATTAAGAATAATTTGTATTTTGTAAAAGACATGTTTATCAATTTTTAATGTTACTATAATAATAATAACAATGTATAATGCAGGTTGTTGCAGCCATATTAAATTTTGATTATAAACCAATGGTTTATAATCAAAATTTAATATGGCTGGTGGTAAAGGTAAACGGAAGTTTAAAGAAACAAACATTAGGTATTAAGTTGTAAGTTAAGTGTAAAATTATATATTTTTAAAAATCACAGTTCGTTTTTTTAATGCTATTTTATTTTTAATTTTTTGATGAATTGGATGCAAATTACTCAGGCAATACCTTTTTTTATAGAGAGCGTCTTGTCAATTAAAGTGACTGCTACAGTTGCCGAAATAAGAAAAGGAATAATGACTTTATTAAAATATGCGCTCGACAGATCAAATGGTGGTAGTCGGTGGTTCACCCGATGTATAACATTCATACTTTACTCCTAGTTGTTCTGGAACTATTGATATTAGTTATTATTGATAAATTGATAAATATATTACAGATAAATGAAACTTTTTTTTTCAAACATTTTACTTTACTTGCATTGTGTATAAAGTACCTTGAAGCAATTTAGTTGTATCTGATTAATATACTTGTAATACAATATTCTCTGCGCAAATTATTGCTTTTTTATTGTGTTATTTTATTGCAATTAAAGTTGAGATAATTTTTTAGTTAATTGAATTTAACCAAAATAAAAAACAAAAATCAACGTTGAATTTACGCTGTTTCAACGTTGTTCTAACGTCGTATCAACTACGTATCAACCGAATATATCAACTACTCAAAGTTGAAATATGGTTGATATGTAGTCGATAAGACGTTAGATCAACGTTGAAACAACGTAATCATCGACGTTGTTTCAACGTCGTAGTTTTCGACATCGGATTTTATTTCCAATACAACCAAATTTCAACGTTGTTTCAACGTGGCATATGGTCGCTTTGCGAAGTTGTTTCGACGTTATTTCAACGTCATTGTGCCTGCTGGGGTAACATCTGATGATCGCTATTTGCGTGAAATTCTGAGTAATGTTTTAAATAAATCGAGTATGATAATTATTTAGTTTTTACAATACATATATATATATATATATATATATATATATATATATATATATATATATATATATATATATATATATATATATATATATATTTATATATATATTTATATATATATATTAAATATACTGTAAAACTTTACCGTGAAAATCACGGGACTATACTGTTACCCATAAGTGCTGGTACTATACCGTGATTATTTTACGGTAAAACACCGTGAATAAATCACGGTAAAACGCCGTTATTTTACGGTAGAATACCGTGACTATAATGTGATAAAACAGCGTTTATTACGGCATAATACCGTAATTGATTTACTGAAATGCCTCGTTCATTTATAGTACAACATATATTGTAAATATAAATCGGTAAAAAACATATATTTTTACTATTTTAAAAAAAAATTTTGCCTATTTTATTTTGTTTTTTTAATTTATTTCAGTTATATTTTAATAACAATTTTTTCAATTGTATTTTAATTTATAATTATCTATTAACATATATGCTTGTTTAAATGCTAATGGCAACAAAAACACGTCATATTTTTAAAATCTTTTTAGTTTTACATTATTTACATGTTCATAAATTTCAAAATCTGAAATAATAATATAAAGTTACATAAATGTTTATGCTCTAGTTTAAGAACGAATCAAATTAAAAAATAAAACAAAAGTTATTATTGTAAAACTTTTGAAAATTTAAAAATAAATATAAAACTACATAGTAAATTGTTTTTCAAAGTTAAATTAAGAAGTTTAACAAAGTGGTAAATTCAAATATTATCAAATCTCGCAAACTTTTGATACTTTTTTTAATTGTTTTTAAAAACTAAAACATATTAGAACTTGTCACTCAACATATCTATAACACAGAGATAAGGAGGGTTTGGTCCCGTCGCCAATTCTGCTTGATCCATTGTCTTCTAAACATATATTTCTTACTATCAAGTATTATTGAAGTAAATGCATTGCATGTTATTATACAATGAGTAAAACAATAAATTGATTGAAAATAGCTATCAAATATATTAATGCTTATTAATTAATTATTATTATTTTTAACTTAAATCAACGAAGACAAGGAGTGCGTCAGGTTTTTCATCAAATAAACTAATCAAAGCCATTAAAAGACCGGGAGCCACAGGTAAATCTGATAATGTTTCATGTTTTGCTTTATCTAAATCTATTAACACCCTTTTTACTCTAAGGTTATTCCGCAACTATTCCAAAATAAATATAATTTTTCATCATCTAATGCTTTTACCAAGAGTTCACCAGCATTCACTCCACACATCAAAACATCAAAGTGATGTAGCAAACCATCAACCTAAATATAAAAAATCAATTTAAATACATAGATATACTAAAACTAAATACAATAAACTTCTACAAAAATCAAATTGAATACTATAAAAATGAAATATCTATTTAGTTATGATTGCATAGATTTATAAATACTGGTTAATAATATAAGTTATTTTATTTTAAATAAAAAGAATTTAATTTACTGTAAATAAATTGGGGAATTTTATCAACAAATCATTTAACAACATCTTTCCATTTATTTCAGTTCTTTGCAAATAGTAATCTAGTTCTTCAGGGCTGTTTGAAACATTGAGAACTGGTTCTCGGTTCAAGCAACCATAACTATCAGTTTTTCTTTTTAAAACATCAACTGATAATTGTTCCAATCGGCAGCACTTACATGTTTAATCTTAATTGCTAAACAGAACTGATACTATATTTAAAATAGAGCAATTAAATATTTAAAGAATACTAAATAAATACTTTTTCACTTACTACGTTTTGTTAACAACTATTTTTAAAATCTACAGGACTTTGAGATTGTACTGCAAAAAACGTTTTTAATATTATAAATGAAAATATATAAATGCATATAATAACAAAAATGATATTTTTTATATATATCATAAATTTTCATTACCAGAGCTTTCCTTTGTCCAAGGTTTAAGGAGTTTACGTTGTTGGATTAGGGTGTTTCTTTTGGTGAAAAATTTTATGGAGATTCTGAATCTGCAAAAAAAAAAATTTTTAATAATGTCTTGCTGGGTCGGTCAGCGTTGTTTGGAACGGTAAAATGACTAAAATATGACTAATTAACAGGGGAAACTATAATTAAAAAAAAAAAAAACTTTTACAAAAATTTTTGATTAACTTAATAATTTTTATGTTGAATTTTAGGAAAATTTAATATTTGGTTCAAAAAGTCATAAAAACAAACACAGAAAAGGAGTTTTTGTAAAGTGTATTTTTACATATATCACGCACTTTTTTCATATTTTAGACAAAGAATGTTACGGTAAAGTGTATTGCTTTTTTCCTGTTTTTATCAAACTTTAAAAGTAAGGGGAGTTCTATTTTGTGAAGAATTTTATGGGGAACCTGAATCTGAAAAAAAATAAAAAAAATAAAAGATGCCTTGCTAGAGGGAACGTTTAGTTTTCAACGAGAAAATGACTAAAATATGAAAAAAAAATTATAAATAAAAAATAAAAAAAGCTCTTTTTAAATATTTGATAAACTCAATACAAATTATGTTGAACTATATAAAAATGTCATACTTTGTTAAAAAGTCAAAAAAATAAACATATAATGGGGGCTTTTATGAAGGTTGTTTTAAGAAAAAGTTTCAATATTTTCGTGTTTTAGACAGAGAATGTTACCGTAGGGGGTGCGCTGACTTTTTTTAAACTAATAATAAGTCAAACAATTTTGTTATAATAAACAGTATATTATATACTAATATATTTATATTACATATTATATAATGCTAAATGTGCTTTATTAAAATTTAAATATAATTAGCAATTAATAATTTATAAATTTTATTTAAAATTTGTGAGTCAAACTAAGTTATATTTAGCATTGTTTTTGCTCATAAAACCCCTACTGATTTCTTGTGCTCGTATATATCCTTCTCGCTTCTCGTGGGAATATGTTTTGGCACAAGCCTCTGTTAATTATATTAAACATTTAAACAGTTTAGTTATTAAAAGATTTTAAATGAGTTATTATAGTCTCGTAATTGTATAAAATAGAAACCTGTTTAACACAACGTTCGACAGATTAGGAATAGCATGGCCATTCTGGAACAACCATAGGCTTTTGGAAAAATTTTCTGACTTTATGGGTTGTGAGGCTTGTGGTAAGTAGTGGTTCGTATATTGAATCTTTCCACTCAATTAGATTGGTCAAATTATCAGCATCAGTATTAATGCATGGGGTTTTGCGAATTCTTACTGAATTATTTTTCTATAGTTTTATCCTGTTAGAAAATGAATTGAAACCCACAATCTACAAAAACGGTTAACTGTAGTGAGCCATCTGGAATGAGAAACAGGTTCTATTTCAAGGTTTATTAAATTTTCTGGTAACACTCCAGATCTTATTGCTGTTACAATTCTGTACCCGTAAGCCTGATCAGTCGAAAGGTCCTTAAGTATTTTGCCTGGCAAAACAATAAGTGGTTCACCTAAAGTAATTTTTTCAAAGTTTTTGTTTGCATCCAGATCTGTTACCGTATCCAGCAGTTTTCCTAATTCACCAGACCATTTATTGTTTGAAAGTGTTTTTCCGTCTAATTCAACTATTAGATGTCTGAGTGGTAGTTCATTAGTATGAAGAGCGCATATTAGCCAGTTCAACCTTTTATTAAGTTTTAATTCTACAAACTGTATGACACTTTTTTCCCATCCAGTATTCACATTTGTTGAATCACCGCCCAATGCTTGTATTGATTTGTCAACACCATGTTGAATCATCCATTCAACTAAATGGTTGGTTACTATATCGGCATGTTTTTCTTCTTCAGTTGATTTTTTTGGTGTAAAATGAAACAAAAATTTGCCACCTGGTTCCATGCATGTAGTGTAATGTTCTTCGTTAATAGATACGGGAAAATAGTTACTGAATCCTTCTACTTCTAATTTTACTTTTGTAATGTCTTTTCTACTATCAAACAAAATACAATTGATATTCCGATTGTATATAGATTTTAACGTTTCATTTTTTAATTCAATCATGATTTTAGCTTGAGCTCTTGCAATTTTTTGATGATCGACAATAAACTGTGTATCTTTCTCAGAAATTAATCCAGCATCAATCCAGGCAGCTGTCGTCAAAGCTGCAGCAGCTCTAGAAGAAACTCCGTATCTGCAAATATAAACATTTTTAGATATATTTTAATGAAGAGAAATTTCTTTTTTATTTAAAATAACAAAACATGTTTTACCTAAGGCTATTTATTGCGACATTTCGAATACTTTTAGTATTATATTTAGACTTTTTTATTTTCGAATAACTTAAGTTGAATTCTTCGTAAAAGAGTTCATCTTCAGTCATTGAAAAATCATTGCTTAAAATTTTATTTGTTGTTATGCTCTCTTCCCTTTTTCTCTTAAAAGCTTCTTTAATAGAATGATTATGTAATGTTTTAACTTGTTTGTTGTATTCAGGCAAATCTTTGGAAGATTTTTGAAGCAATCCTCTAGCACCAACTTTATCTCTTTCAGTTTTAATATAAAAAATGTCTATAATAGGAATTTTAAACTCCTTAGAGCAGTTGCATGTAATGTGGGCTTGTTGTTTACAAACAACTTTGCATCCAAATTCATTACAATAAGAAATTTGACACTTACAATTTAAAATACCAAACAACTTATCGAGCTTTAATATAAACTCTTTCTTATTTTTTTTATTTTCTTTGTTCACAGATATTAAAAAAATGCAATGTTCCAAGCTTTTATAATTTTGTACACGATATTCTTTTCAGAATAAATAATAGGAGCTTTAAAATTAGCGTTTGCTTTTTGCCATTGGACAATAACAGAACATGCTACCTTTTTTGCCATATCTTTTATTAAAAAAGTTCTGGAGTTTTTATCACACTGTTCTCTTAATAGAACTGCATGTCGAAGTGTGTCTCTATATGTTGGAAGTTCAGAGAGTAACAACTCCTTTCCAGTACCAATGAATTCAGTTAAGGAAGTTTTTTTCATGTCTCTTGTCTTTATCAATAACTTTTTGTTAAAGGTTGCCATAATTTGTTCCACAATTTTCAGTATTTATTTTAGTTTATATATAATCAAATTTTCTTCGTATAATCTTATTTAATCACTTTTATAATCAAAAATATATTTCATTGACATACTTGTCACTTATTTATAAGTAGATCTAAAAAGTTATTATATAATAAAGGTAATGTAATTCCTTTTTACAACTTTAACAGCTGTTGTTAAAAGAAAATACAATTTTCTAAAATCTACTTTGAATGAAACGTTTTGACGATTTTTATTTAACTAAATAAAAAGTTTTATTAAAATTCAGCATATTGGGTATGAAATTTATTTAAAATAAGCTTAATACTCATTATGAGTAATAAACTTATTTTTAAGTTTATTGTAGTTTGATAAAAGCAGGAAAAAAACAATACACTTTTACCGTTACATTCTTTGTCTAAAATATGAAAAAAGTGCGTGATATATGTAAAAATACACTTTACAAAAACTCCTTTTCTGTGTTTGTTTTTATGACTTTTTGAACCAAATATTAAATTTTCCTAAAATTCAACATAAAAATTATTAAGTTAATCAAAAATTTTTGAAAAAGTTTTTTTTTTTTTTAATTATAGTTTCCCCTGTTAATTAGTCATATTTTAGTCATTTTCCCGTTCAAAACAACGCTGACCCACCCAGCAAGACATTATTTAAAAAAAAAATTTTTGCAGATTCAGAGTCTCCTTAAAATTCTTCACCAAAAGTAACCTTGCTGTTTTTGAAATTGGAAAAAAAAAAATCGACACACCCTATTGTTGGATGCAGGGCTGTGGAGTCGGAGTCGGAGTTGAGACAATTAGCTTTATTAGCGGAGTCCGACTCCGATAGTAAAATTTCTTGGTATTTCACGTGCATGTACAAAACATTCAATTAAACTTATGTTCATACTAAACCTTAAAGATGTTTCATAAATTTGTCGAAAAAAAATTTCAACTTATCGCGCAATATTTTTTAAAGAATTCAAAGAATTTTTCAAAAATTTTGCTTTGGAGATGGAGATTGAAAAAATTTTGCTTTGGAGATGGAGTAGGAGTCGGAGTTGGAGTAGGAGTAAGTTAAAAAATTTGATTAAAAAAGAATATAGAAAATATTAAAAAATTATACTTGCTTTCATTTTACATTATACAAGGTGGCAGCAAAAATCTTAAAAAACAAAGTTTTCTGAAAAAGTTTTTATAAAACTCTCCGCTACTTGTTTTTAATTGGTTCTTAAAACTGGTTATTAAATTATTATTTCAGAAAAAAACTGCACACATATGCCAAATACTACAAATAAAATAAATTACCCATAAAATATTTTAATACGATACTGTCAAATAAAATATATCACTTTTTAAAAATATTTATCTAAATCTGTAGTTATTTGATGAGCATGACACAAAGTGCTTAGGAAATAAAAGAGCGATTGCAATTTATATAAGATGGTAGTGAAAAGTAGTCTATGAAATAAGCAAGCCTTAAACGTTAAATCTCATTATTTTCTCCACAGACCTCATACATACCAAGCTCATGCACTAATTGTGTGATTTGCTCCTTAATAAGAGCATACTCAACTCCATGCTTTTTAAAAAAAAAGAAACAAAATTCTTGCAAAATTAGGAAGTTCATGATCCTTCGTAAAGTTAATAATTAAGAATAAATCTTTTTTGTAATGGGTACCTTGATAGACAATATAGGTATAAAAATAGGTAGGAAAATGTCTCCGGCAGTTGTCCACATGTAGTTATATTTGCCTCAAAAATTGTAGAATTAAAATTTGTGATATAATATGAAAATTAATTGATTGTATAAATTTTTAAACTCGGTATGCTTGAATTATTGTATGATTTGTATGACAATTGGTGCGTTTCTGTTGAGGTCTTACATACATGTTTGTAATTAATAAAATTTCTTGCACAATTTTTGAAGTAAGAATGCTTTTGTTCAAACCTCAAAGTGAAAACCCGCATTAGAGGCCCGTAACGTAAAGTTAGCTGTGGATAGTTGGACAGGTAATTATGTTTTGGTAATAGTTTCTTAGATAAGAATAATTCTCTTCGAGAAGATAAATAACCATTTATTAAAACCTGCAGATAAGCAATATGCTGAATGTAAATTTTGGGCGAACATATAACCTCAACAATTTCTTATAGTTTTAAATACAATAACCACACAGGGTCTTCAAAATTTTTGTACTGCATTACCACTTAACTTTTCAGTACATGAAGTTTTATTCAACTCACAATGCTTATCCAAGGCATCTCCTTCAAAATACTTTTGCATGTTAATTCTTCTGTTGATATTGTTAAATGAAAACCACCGTTCACTAACAAAATATTTAACAAGTAGATACATATCTCGTGAAGCGACGCCTTCAAAGATATCATGAGTTAAGCATGGTGGTAAACCTGTAGTGACATGAAATTCACATAAATCATTAAATGGTGACTGAAATTTTATTCCTCCAAAATTGTTACCATTGTTATTCTATGCTAATTGAAGCAGGCTATTATTGTGGCTTGATTTTATTCGATCAGGTCCACAGAATTGAGGGTTAAAATCAAATTCTTCTTATGTTGCTAAACAGTATCGACAAAAGTGCAAAACTGTGCTAAAATGTTCACAAAAACCTATAGAATGTGATACTAAATTATCCCCTAGTATGCATAGAAGTTTTGTCTTTATAGATAAACTTTCAGAAACAGAAACAGAACAACCACATATTTCTGACGCCAAAGTACTTTAAATCTGTATCTTTACACATCAGTACCGGGTGTAGCTGCTCCGATGCATATTTTATGTGGGATGAAATAATAGCTGAGGTAAAGTAAACTGCAAGAATTTTATATTTTTTTCTTCCTGATCCAATTGGGTTGACAATTTCAAAAGAATCTTGATATAGCATAAGATATAAAATCTTATCATCGGATTTAGCAGTATTTTGAATTAGGGATCCACTCTGTAAGTCTGTATATGTACCAATATTTTCCTCGTGTTTTTATCAAAATCCAAGTTCATTGCTATGTTTGTTGTACATCATTTTTAACAAGTCCTTTATCAGAACATGATGAATAGAACATGAATTTTTTATTGGAATCAAAACCTAAAGTAAATTCTAGTGGAGATATATAACTCATATGTTTATGAAAATAAGCTTTCTTCTTTTTTATGAGTACTAAAAGTGTACAAACTCTTTATCTTTATATTTTCTGCCTTAAAAAGTTCTGCTAAAATATTTTTACGGATATCACTGCTTTGATTGGACATTGCAGAAATCAGATAATATATTACTCAAATTATTAGCTACCATAAGTTCATCAAAAATAGATTAAACATAAGAAGCTAGTATTATATTTTTTACTTAAAATTTTAAAAAAAAGAGAGCTTGATCCTTTAAATATTTTTCAGAAGAAATATCATCAATACCATCATGAAACTCTTCATTTTTATAGTGTTCTAAAGATCCACATAAAATGCATTCTTGTTCAAGTGTGTTATCATTGTTCAAATTAAAAGAATCTAAGCTATGTACAATATACACTGGCATGATAAAACTTGAATCCCATTGCTTGTGCTTTCTTGTTATATGAGATGCAAATGAATTTCGATTAGTGTAAAAACAATAACAATTCATGTAAGAACAATGAACAGTGTTAAGTGAGTCAAGTAAAATAAACTGAGAAAATCCAGCACATATTTTTTTACATAGTGCAATATCACATTTAAAACATTGGAAAATGTCATTTATCTCTGTTATCGGTTTATTTTCCAATATACTTTTATTATGTGCTTTTCTTATATGCAATTTGAAAGTTGAATATGTTTTGAAAATAATTCTGCAATTTTTAATGCAACAAAGAAATTTAATATTAGCTAAATTGCGATGGTTTTAATAATGGGTCATAACTCAGCAGTCAGCGCCATGCGGTGGTATTTTGGCGCTTGGAGCTGCCATACTTATAAGGCGCCTTTTATGGGTAGAATAATTTTTTAGGTGACCAACATATTCAAATTTTTCTAAAGTAGAATACAGGTAGCCTTCAATTAACGCGGTTGTATTTGCTTGATTTTTGGAATAACAGTGCACTTTACAGAAAAATATTTCTAATAAAATTTGTTGAACTTCGAGAATTCTACAACTATTCTTGAAATATTTTCTGTGGAGTGTACCATTCTCTCAAAAACTGGGCAAATGCATACGTTAATGAAAGGCCGCCAGGAATAGATCGTTCAGTTGGCATTAATGACAAGAAAAATAAAAACCCTAAATAAAATTTTTATATTAGGATACATTTACAAAATCAACAAAATATGTATAATATATATATATATATATATATAATAGTAGCAAATTAAATAAATCAATATATTATTCAATCCTTTATATTCTATATTTGGACTAATAATAATTGAGAATAATAAAAAATTATTTGCAGTAATTCAGAAGAGATTTCATTTCTAATTATTCGATCAATAGAAAGCCAAGTAACAAATTCAATCGATTTTGATAGCTTTAACAACAATTTAAGGACAAAAAGCGAAAAAAATTATCTTATTTGAAAGAGTATTTTTTTTTTTAATTTACTCGCCTCATTTTTAATTTAGCAAAATCGTTAATTAATTCGTCATAATTTAACGAATCACATATTTCGCTTTCAATTGACAACATAGCTAGACCTACTAATTTCTCTTGACTCATCGACGATCTTAAATAGTTTTTTATTATTTTTAATTTCGAGAAACTGCGTTCTCCAGAAGCAACTGATACAGGTAAAGTTAACAGAATATGTAGTAATTTGAACAAATTCGGAAATATTGTTGTTATATTATTTTCGTGTAAATAGTTCAGTATTTCTAGTGGTTTTCCATTTGAGAGGGTAACACTGCAGATAAATTTATAATTTTTTCACAAAGTTCTAAACCGTCAATATCTCTTTTATCATTATCTGTTAATAATAAATGTA